CCAGGCATCGCAAAGAAAACGGGACCGCATTAAACAATCACAATTAGAGGAACAAATTCAAAAACTGGATACAGAAAACGCCACCCTACCATCTACTGAGTTGCACAGTAAAATCTCTTCCCTTAAATATGAGCTCAATCAAATACTTTCTGAGAACATTTCTAAAGCCTTTATTTTTACTAGTCAGACATATTTTGAGTTTGGGGATAAACCACAAACTGCTAGCGAGACAGCTGCGGAAGAGGGAAAGCGACAGGGCCATTCACAGGGTAAAATCAGAGGAAGGCACTCCCTTGACCTCTCATAGGCATATCAATGACATGTTTCGCCGGTTTTATGATGATTTATACAACTCTAAGGCTCATGCGCAACCTGAAGTTGCGGATCAGTTCTTGGATGCGTGTGACCTGCCCACATTAGAACAGAGGGATCGTGACTCTCTTGAGAAGGACATTACATGTGAAGAAATCAAAAAGACAATTAACTCACTAAAAAATGGCAAAAGCCCGGGGCCAGATGGGATGTGCAATGAATTCTATAAAAAGTTCAGCAATATGCTAGCTTCTATTTTGTTGAGGATGTACAGGAAAGCGTATGAGGCTGGTATGCTGCCGCCAACACTAAACGAGGCAACTATAACAGTGATTCCAAAAAAAGGGAAGGATTCAGAACAAGTGGGATCATATAGACCAGTCTCCCTTTTAAATACAGACCAGAAAATTCTTGCGAAGACCTTATCTAGGAGACTCAGCCTCTATATGGCTAAACTGGTACACCCTGACCAAACTGGGTTCATCCCAAACAGACACTCATTTCATAACCTCAGACGCCTCTTCAATATTATGTACTCTACCAGACAACCTGAAGGGGATTTGTTTATCCTAAGTCTGGATGCGGAAAAGGCCTTTGACTGTGTGGAATGGTCCTACTTATATAAAGTTCTTGAAAAATTAAAATTTGGAACAGGATTCATCTCGTGGGTTAAGTTGCTTTACACCAATCCAAATGCTAGAATCTTCACTAACCGGACTATATCAGAACCATTTAACCTGCACAGGGGAACAAGGCAGGGATGTGCACTTAGTCCTCTACTGTTTGCTCTTGCATTAGAACCCTTGGCCGAAACAATCCGAAATCTCACTATACGTGGACGATATTTTGATGTTTATAACAAAACCACAGTCTTCGCTTCCTATTTTATTAGAGACCATAGAACTGTTTAGCTCTTTTTCTGGATACAAAATCAATTGGACCAAAAGCGAAGTGATGCCTGTACACTGTAAAGACACAAGCGTGCTAGAGAGCATTCCATTCAAAGTGGCATCAGAAAAATTCACCTATCTAGGAATAGAGATCACAAACAAATTTGACTCGCTATTTGACTCAAACTTTGTGGCCATTCTAGATAAATTTAAGACAAAAATAGAGTTTTGGAAAACACTACCAATTTCCTTACTAGGTAGGATCAACGCAGTGAAGATGATCTTTCTCCCTCAGCTGTTATACCTTTTTCAGAACTTACCTTTATATATCACTAAAGCCTTTTTCACAAAACTAGATTCGATAATTCTCCCCTTTATTTGGAACTATAAATCCCATAGGATTAAGAAAGGTCACTTGTGCAAGACTAAGACGAAAGGCGGGCTGGCTCTGCCAGACTTTATGCGCTATTACTGGGCGGCAAATATTCGTTGTGTCTCCTACTGGTTAGACGAGACAGTTGTACTCGCAGACTGGCTTGACTTGGAACGAGAAGACTGCCTACCCTCCTCTCTTGGTGCCATAGTAATGTCTCCCGTGCGTCTTAAAAAGTTATACTATAATAATAACCAGATTATTCATAATACCATTCAGATTTGGAGACAAATTACAAAACAACTTAAATTTAGGGCCCTGTCTTTCAATGTTCCCCTATCATCAAACCCATCGTTTACCCCTTCAATTATGGATGGAACCTTTGACAGATGGAGAGAGCTAGGAGTGGGTAGCGTCGGCGATTTATACATCCGTGGTATATTTGCATCATTCCAGCAGCTTCAGGAAAAGTATGGGCTGGCTAGGGCGGATTTCTTTAAATACCTCCAGATTAGGCATTATGTGAGGACCCACCTAAATGACTTTGAGACTGCAACACCTGACAAGCTTGACCACTGTCTGAGAGACTGTTTAGCAGAGAGACATACAGTGTCATTTATATATGACGTACTACAAGACTATGGACAAGTTGATACAAAATGTATAAAAAAAGACTGGGAAAAAGAGATTGGTGAGGAAATAGCAGAGGACACCTGGGACAAGGCCTTGAAATATGTGATTATCTGTTCCCTTAACGCCAGGCACTGCCTCATACAGTTCAACATTTTACATAGGTTGCACTACTCTAAAGTAAAACTCCATAGAATCTTTCCCGAATTGTCACCAACCTGTGATAAATGTGAACAATCAGAGGCAGACTTACTTCATAGCTATGTGCTATGCCCTAAACTACAGAACTTTTGGGTCGCAATATTTTCATTCTTCTCAAAAGCATTTAAAGTTCAACTACAACCAGATCCAGTGTTAGTGATACTGGGCACATCTGAACAATGTACTTCATCTCCTGTCCTATGGCCTCCTGTGTGCAAAGAAACGTATTCTCCTGTTATGGAAATCAAAGGATGTGCCCAGTTTTAAAGCTTGGATTACGGCATTGACTGATACTCTGCATTTAGAAAGAATTCGATATATCCTAAAAGATAGACTGGGGGAATTCGAAAGGATGTGGGGTCCAATGGTTTCATTTATAAGAGGGACGGTCGGCTGAAATGCACTGCACAAACAACCGTTTTTAATGGCTTGGTGGCACTGCTCGGGGAGGGAGGGGTGGAGGCATAATCTGGGCTCATCTGCACCACTCTGTTTTTCACAATTTTATTTTGTATTTTTTTCATTAGATATATACTATATATTTTTGTATGTTCTTTCCCACTATGATTTAGGTATGGCATTAATCATGCTATTGTCATGCTATGTTTTTTCTTCCTTATTATTTCTTGCTGGCTGTTATGTTTGTCTTCTATGTTGGAAAAAGGGAAGCATGATTTCCACCCCAAAGAATATATACTACTGCTTACACTTGTATGCTTCTTCTCAATAAAAATATTTGAATAATAAGAATTGAATCCATCAAAATGAACATACTGCCAAGACTACTTTATTTGTTCCAGACCTTACCAATAGAGATTAAACAAAAACAATTTAACGAGTGGGACAGAATAATATCAAGGTATATATGGCAGGCTAAAAGACCTAGAATTTGTTTTAAAACTTTACAATTATCAAAAGAAAAGGGGGGGTGGGCTCTACCTTCCCTTAAAGAGTATTACCGGGCAGCACAGTTGAGGCCCATGGTATGCTGGTGCAATCCATCGTATGATGCCCAATGGAAAACCATGGAAGAGAAAATATGATCCATTCCCATACAAGCAATCATAGCTGACAGCGACCTACAGGGCTACATACATAACATTGAGAACCCACGGGTAAAACTGAGTCTTAAAGTATGGAAAACAGTCATAACTGAGTATAAATTAGAGGAACATATTACAATTCTGAAATGGTGTGCATATGACACCGACTTTACTCCTAATAAATTAGACACTAGATTTAAGGATTGGACAGCCAAAGGAATAACTGCTCTTTGCAACATAATTAAAGAGGGAACGCTGGTTAGTTTTGAAATGCTTAAAGAGAAATTCCTATTAGAAAAACCAGACTTCTATCGATACTTACAGATGCGGCATTATGTTAACAAAAAGGTTAAAACTATAACAGAGTCAAGTACAGGTGTGATAGAACTATTTAAAAAAGCATACGATTCAAAAACAGATAGCAAAGTTATTTCAAAGGGCTGTTGAATCTTAAAATACACTCAACCATATATGTGAAATCCAAGTGGGAGAAGGAAGGAGGGGTTCTGAGGAGGAATGGAGAACAATATGGAAATATCAGTGGAAATGTACCAGTTCACACAACTGGAGGGAGTTTGGTTGGAAAAGCCTTACAAGATATTTTCAAATGTCATGTGCCCATGGAGAGTAAGACTTTGTTCTTTGGACTCATACCTCAAGAATGGACTAAAAAAGACAAATATTTATTAAATCTGTTGCTGGTGGCGAGTAAAAAAGCTCTTACAAAGAAGTGGTTATCACCTGATAGCCCAACTTTAAATGCATGGATGGATATTACAATGGACATTTACAAAATGGAGAGGATAACATCATCTGTCAATCACAAACTGGAACTATTTGTGTCACGATGGAGAAAGTGGACTGATTTCGTAAAACCTCATAGGCCAGATTTTATTTTTACAAACGTATGATTTTACTGTGAAGTCCTGATCACTCCCTAAAGTTCGTATTGTTCGTACTTTTTACTGTCTTTATTTTATCTTTGTGTAAAAAAAAGAAAAAGGCATTAGTCAAATGTCAATAACAAATATATTAAAAAAAGAAAGAAACTGCTACTGCTTAATGTTATTATTTTATTATGACAATAAATCTAAATGTCAAGTTTAAATGCATTCGTATTAAGGGTGAGTTATACCAGTGGTTCTCATCTAAGGAGCAGTTGGGTTGAATACGATAACAAAGGGTTTAACACAAGAAAAAAGGAAGGAGAATCATCACAGATGAGTGGGGGGGTTCTTATAGAATGGGGACCAGCTCAAGGGGTCCACGAGACCAAGGAGGTTCGGAACCACTGCTCTTTATTAAAAACCAAGCTCCCAATAGCCTGGACCCTCACCACTATGCATCAAAGCCAACAGATGCACAGAGGATGCCGTCTCCACTGCCCTCCTATCAGCCCTGATCTATATGGAAAATAACAACACCTACATCTAGGTGTTGTTACGACCAGGTTAGATGGTACTTGGTTAATGTGTACATATGAAAAATACTGGAATTGCAAAGAGGAAGTAACAAAATATTTTGCTGTCACAGCCAACGCCTGAAACTCCGTTAAGGGACAGATGAAGAGCTGTCGAACTCCAGTGAAGCATGTTCCACACCACCGTAGCCGTTCATCTTCTTCAGTTTCAGCTGGTCCACGTGGACCAGGCCTTGGGTCTCCAGTACTGCCTCCTTTTTAGAGAACATGCGGCTGATCTCCATGAAGGTCTTGTTTTTGGTCTCTGGGATCACAACGTAGACATAGATGGCCACAGAAATGCAAATAGTGGCAAACACCAAGTAGCAGTAGGACCCCGCTGACATCTGTGGGTTAAAGTGGCAGAATGATTTAGAGATGAGGATAGAACAATGAATCAAAGGTTTTTTGCATAGGTTAATAGAGAACAGACATGATGCAGCACAAGGTTGTTGTAATTATGAACCGGACATTGAGACTTTTCTGGAAGCTCCATGAATGTGACTTGAAGAGTCATAACACTCAACTGCTTGAAAATCAAGCACATACCACACATCATATCCTTTGCTCAAGGTGATTGAATCATACACCCTAGTTATAGCATAGTGTTACAGTATATTGCCAATGTACTAAACCTTGACATGACCAACTCAGAAATTATACTATACTATTGTAACTTCTCTAAATGATCAGCTACTGATCACACATGTCTCTGACTTAAAAAAAAGTTGATAGGTACGCATTGTGTTACTCCCCACTCTATCAGCCTGATCTACAGTACACCACCCTGTCTATAGCTGGACTTTATACTGCACTGTTGTTCACCGTGGGACCAGCACTCATATCTCACATACAATATAACATAAGATAAGATAAGATGGACCTTTATTAATCCCAGAGGGAAATTCAGGAGTTTAAGCAGCAACAGAGTGAGAGCAAAAGTACAGTACAGATTCACACAAGATTAATACAATATATATACAATTTAAATGATATACAGTTAAGTAGCTGTTAAAATAAGAATTTAATAAAATGAACATATATACATATCTGAGTCCGGATTGTTAAATATATTTACATGTATGTAACATATATTAGAAAAAAGAATGGCAGTACAGTAGCCACAACCTAAGTACTGCATCTGTATCAACCAAGACTGCCAAGTCTTTAAAAAGAGTAAGAGTGGCATCTGGTGGACTAATGGTAAAGACACATGTCATAAAAGTAGGAATATGAAATGATCTTGGTTGTCTCAGGGCCAGAGACCTATGTTGCATGTTTATACAGAAAATACAGTCTATGGGCGAAGCCCTCCAACTCTCAATAAAAAAGGGAAAAGGAAGAACACACTCTTAGTGACGTGGGCTTACAAGAAGACACAACAACAATGAGAAAGGCACACTGCAACAACTCCAGCGCAATTACTTAAGCATTTTCTGAGAATGCTTTTCTTTGCAGCGGTGAAGGGCTGTCAGTGACTGACGTTCCTCTGATAGCATACTAGGAGCTAATGCAATCTTTCAACATGTTAGACACAGTATCTCACAATCAGATTTGAGAAGCACACTGTGCAGTGTTGTGACGGCAAATAAACAGAGCCTAATGGCTCCAGATGCAGCACACTGGGACGGAGTAACTGTCAGCAGACAGAGGGACTGACTGCTGGAGTCAACGAATGAGACAAAAGAAATGTCAGCCTGCTGTTGTAATAAAATGTAGCTGCTCTCTGATGATTCAAAGATAGTCCAACAGGGAAGATTTGTTAACAAGTAGAGGTAACACCCCGTTTCTATTAGGAGCTTTGTGAAAATATTTAGGGCCAATAATAGGGATGGATACAAAACGAAGCAGGGGGTCATTGCACAGAATAACCAGTTCAGATCATATTCAATTTGTTGTTATTACAAAGCTCCAGCATTTACGAGAGGGTGGTACAGTGTACAGCTCTCACCTGTAAGAAGGGGAAGAAAAAGCCCACAGTGAAGTTAGACAGCCAGTTCAGGGACCCTCCTACTATGTAGGCTGCCGGCCGGTGAGACTGTTTGAACAGCTCCGCTGTGATCAGGAAGGGAACCCCAGCTGGAACAGGAACAAAGCACTAACTATAAAACATCAATACAAATCACACACTTCTGCTAAATGAGTTCATTGAAAGGGCACACTAGTGATTAAGTATTGCACCTCAATTATGTTGACAGTCAAAGAAAATTCAGGAGAGGCTGTAATGTTCTTAATATAGCTCATGATTGGGTCTTTCAAACTCAACACTTCCTGTTTGTGCCTTGAATCTTGAAATGCATGCTTTTTGTTATACATGAAATATCCAATCCAACACTGAGAAACCCCATAACTACTAAAAGTATATTTTATATTTGTATGAACTGTTTTGTTTATACACAACACAACTGGCTTCTCCTTTTATATCATAATATAATGGTCCAAATGATGTAATTCTTATAATCTAAGCTCACTTTACCACAAGACACATGGACACATATTGGGAGGTAGAAGAAGCGTACCTTATACCCTGTGTTTATTATTTTAGAAAAAAGATGTGCAGTGTCCTCAAAAGAGTGTATGGGCAAGCAGTTCTATTGTGTTATTTATAATAACTATATTTAATAATAACAATGTTTTAGTACACACAGTATAACTACATTATTACAATAATATGTTCTTCTGACTGAACTGACTGAAGAAGAAAACGTTTCTCTGAAATCTCCTGAGGCCTGTTTTATACTTTGACTGTTTCACAGTGGACCGCTGAGGGAGCCCATTGGTATTTAAGGAGTCACATTTAAAAGGCAAGTGTTCTCCAGATGAATTGTGTTTCGAGCTTTCCGAATTGTGTGCACACAATGGAGACAAACTCTGCTAGTTGGAGAGACTTTAGGACTGCCTTTGAGCTCCACAGGGAGCCATTCAGCAACACAGAGCAACCTGAGCCTCATCACATAACTGCAAGTCACACAGTTGATTTGTAATTATGTCTTACCCAAAAACTAATATCGGGGGGACTTATGGAACCCTTATTTACACCCACACGTTAGCTGGAGATATTCATAACGTTCGGAATAACCAGTGGTGTAAAGTAACCAACTACATTTACTCAAGTACTGTACTTAAGTACAATTTTGAGCTACTTTTACTTTCAGAGGTACATTCTGAATGTACTTTTCCTCCACTACATGTATTTAATACCTTTAGTTACTTTACAGATGTGGATGAATGATGTGAAATATAATCAAGTGTTAAATCAGACTTTAGTTCCACCTGGAGTAAATTCACAAGCTACCCTGCAGTATACAAAGTCATTCAAACTAGCTGCACCTTTACCAGCTTTGAGAACACTTTCATGATCAATCATTATAAAACATATCATATATATTATTCTGAAATGGACCAATCTGCACAATGACTGCTTTTACTGTCGCTACTTTAACTATATTTTGATGATAATACTTTTCTACTTTTACTTGAGGAACATTTTGAATGCAGGACTTTTAATTGTAACAGAGTATTCCTACACTCTGGTACTTCTACTTTTACTCAAGTACAAGATCTGAGTACTCGTCCCACCTCTGGGAATAACATTTATAAAGTTGCGGTTTACACATCTTCAAACCGTAAAACTAAAGGAGTAATCATTTTAATTTCCAATAACTTAAAATGACATATTGTTAATAAAGGTCAAGGTCAAGGATGAATAAACTGATTACCTTCAGGGAATCATTTGCAATAGAGAGATAGCTATGACAGCGAGTTATCTAACTTATATGAACCTATTCTCTTTAAATCACTTTCAAAAATATTTTCCGAAATGACCGTTCATGATTGTTGTACCTGTATTCAATTGTATTGCTATTAAACTAAATATTAAGGTGAACTAACATCTTGTGGCATTGACTTGCATATGCTAGCCTTGATGTTAATGTCAAAGTGATTATTTGAATACATACATTTGAATACTGTAAGAGACGTAAGCCTCCCAGCTTACGTCTCCTGGGTGATTTTCTATTTACTCATACATGGTATGTAACTGATCACTAGAGAATGGTTGTTTATGTCAGAATGGAGTAGGTGTGATGTCCTGCTCTTGCTTAGACATGTGTAAGGTAAATATACAGTAGTGCCCCTACCACAGGTAGCTGCATGTGAGCTTTAGGCTTGCCAGATGTTGTTTGAGCTGTTATCACATGAGAGGGGTAGAATTCAACAAAAATTGCAGCATGCTTGTCCCATGATTCAGGATGACAGATGGCAGTTGCTCTTCTTTGACCTGTTAAGCCCGAGCCTGTTTTCCAGGTCTCAGGCTCGAAAATGACATTCCCAGAACAAATGACTATAACTTCCCTTCTAAAAGGGGTAAATTAATAATCTTTTTTCTCAAAGCTATGATAAACCTGTGAGTTGGATGTAGAAAAGTCAGAATCAATATAGATTTATTTTATTTTAAATTAAATTCAGATTGAACATAGTAAAAAAATGTAAATGATAGTGTCCGTCGAAAAAAAAAACATTACTTATAGTGAAAACCACACTTGAATGATGGGATAGTAGACTAAAAGCTTTAGGAATCCAAACTATAACATATAATAAGTACCCTCTATCAAGATTGATGCAAAACAAGTGACATTTGACCTTTATGGATTATCAGAAATCATTTCAAAGGGACACAGGCACATTGGATTAACCTATGGATTAACTTCAGCAGCGTTTTTATCGTTTTAATGCCATTGAAGACCACTTTGGAGAGACTACAGAGCCAAGGTAAAAATGTTAGCATTTTTAGCTACCTAGCGTCACCTGTTTTGATGTCCGTTTTTGCTTATAACGTCGCAAATTCGTATAATTCAGTGGTAATGTCGGTGTCAATCGATTCTGTGTCACCTCACGATGTGAAACGATGTCATGGATGTAGAGAAGAGATAAATAATAAGGTTTTGTGAGTGATTTTCGGTGCAGTAAGGTGTTAGCATTTTTCGCTCGTTGCTAATTCAGAGGCTCAGTGTTAGCATTGTGGGTTTTCTTTTAAGAAAAAAAAAAAAAGATCAGTTAGATGAGTTTCTTCCCGTTACATGGATATAAAACATTCATAGTTTATTAAATGAACATGCCCTCAGACACTGTTTCCTGCAAGATGTTGCGGCAGTGCCCCGGTACCGGGGTCTCTCGGGCTTAACATGTTAAATAAACTAAACGCTTTAATTTTAAAGTGGACCTATCATGCTATATTTGAATAATATATTGTAGGGCCATACAATAAGGTATATTTATACGTTTTCTTTTTCAAAATACCAAACAGATCATGCATTTTAGCCATGCCTCATTTCGCTCTATTTTGCTGTCCTCCACCCTGTCTTTGCATGCGCTGCAGCTGACCACGCCCCCCTGCAAAGCAGTAAACCTAGGGGAAACACAGCTGACTGCAGTGGGGTTTGAACCTGTGACCCCCTGATCCAAACACCAACGCACAACCCACTGCACCACATGCCCCCCATAAAAATGGAAAGATGGATTATCAGTAATAATTTCAAAGTGACAGACACATTGGATTAACCTATGGATTAACCTTCAGCCGCATTTTTCTCGTTTTAATGCCATTGAACACAACTTTTGATCAGAAACAGCAAAAGGTAAGACATTTCTCCCGTTTTTGCTCCATAAAGCTACGTGTTGTGATGTCTGTGTTTGCTTCCCATGTTGCGAGTTCTGATCGCTCAGTGATGATACTAATACCGATAGAATCTGTGGATTCTCAGCTTGCTAGCTAATATCTTTGTTGTGCAGATCCGATAAGTAACAAAGTATTTATACCAGGGTTGCCAACTCTCACGCATCTGGCGTGTGACACACGCTTTCACTCTCAACCTCACGCTCTCACGCTGCCCAAACTATTCTCACGCCAAAAACAAGAATACCGAAGACTAGAAACGATTTTGAAAACTTTTGTCACGTAGTGATCGTCTTCTCAATAGAACATCTTTGATAATGTCTTCTGGCCAATCAGAATCACGATAACGGCGTGGTGTTGTTGCAGGAAGTCCCGACGGAGAATACTTTTGCGGTAGTACATCTCTATACATCGATACAACATTACGTGTTGATAGAAATCAACACGTAATGAAATAAGACCCCACGGTTTGATTATTGATAGGTGTGTGGGCTGTCTTTCATTTTGACTCACAGAACAATGGGGGCTATCCACCCTTATCCACAATGTAAAGTAATTCACACAGCCTCTTCCCTCTTCTCTCTGTGAGGAGCAGCAGCTTCAGCTTTCAGAACAAAGTCACAAAAAACAAAAATGGCATTCATTCATGTCGTGTAGTAATAGATTTATTTATTTTTCTTCTCAAGAGAGTACCAGAATGTGTATTTTATGTTAGTATTTAAAAAAATCTCCTGGGGGAGAATCCCCCCAGACCCCCCTGCAGGGGTTGGGTTTTCAGCAAGTCAACTCTTTCACCTGTGGGGAAATTGCAGGATTGGCTCCAGGTCGCCCTTTTTATTTACTACAAGACAAATGTGCCTTTTTATTTCATACAGTTCAATTTGGATTGAGACAGGGAAATAATCTAAACCTCACGCGTGGCGTTTCACTGTCGGGGGGAGCGTGTATGTAATTACATTACAAATACTGATTTGAGCCCCACCACTGTATTTGTTTGTGTGTGTGTGTTTCATGTATAGGCCTCTCACGATAATTAATTTTGTTGGATACATTTTCCCGGAAATTATTGCGATAAACGATAATATTGTCGGCACTGTTGTATGACCATTTTAGACCACTGACATAATGATAATATATAATAATAATTAAAGTACATCCTTTCAAACTGCTAGTCACATCCTCATGTAAATGGCAATTTATCGAGGTCAGAAAAGTTATGGAGTTCATTATTATTTATCGTACGATAAGTCAATTAATTGTTTATCGCGACAGGCACACAATAAAACAGTGGAAACAAACATGTTTGACTTTCATTAGTGAATGAAACTGTGTGCCCTTTATAGTCTGTGTCCATTATTGTGTATTTGTATATATTGTATATATATCCTATATGCTAAGGTCCCGCTGCTGACACGATAGCAGTCATTTAGTGCGCATATGTGTAATTAAACTGAATTAAACCCATGATATCAAAATCTCACTCCAGCCAGGTACCCAAAGTTGGCAACCCTGTTATACCTAGAGTTCTGTGCTAAGTGCGGTAGCATGTTTTCGCTCAGGGCTAATTTACACGCTTCTTGTGAGACTTGCGTTTTGTTTCGGTAAAAATGGTTCGTATCATCAGTTAGCTGAGTTTCTTCCCGTTAAGTGACTATGACACATTCATAGTTTATTAAATGTTAAGAAGCCCTGAGACACAGTTTAGTCAAAAAAAAGCCCATAGCCCCTGCCGACGGGGGCTATAGGGCTTATCAGGTTACGCAGTGTCAATGCTAACTCTTATTAAATCCTCAATGCTGCCTGGGTTCATGAGCGACATGCGTCTGCACAGCTGGAGTTATGTTCACATCAACACAGGAGGTGAGTTCTGTAGCATGCAGTGTAGAGAAACTTGCCTGGGCCGATACAGAAGCCAGCGATGATGCCCACCACACAGCAGACACTGATGTAGCGCATGAAAGGTAAGTGAACCTGCAGGGAGAAGAAGAAGTCAGTCTCATCACATTTACTTATTTTCTCTAATGGAACACTGGACCTTTTCCAACACTGCTCCGCACCTCAGCCCCCCACATGGTGTACCACAGGGCAGGAACAGTGCGTCCAACAAATCTCCCCGAGCGCTGTACAATAGCTGCCGACTGCTCCTATACTAGGGTGGGTTAAAAGCAGAGGTCAAATTTCACTGTGTGTGCTGTATGCATGTATGTGTGACCATTAAAGAGGGTTTCATCCTCCAATTCTAAATCTGTCTGTCCTCCAGTCCCTGACTTTAAATTGTATCCATAACAGTATGTACTTAGAAAGTAACTAAAAGTAGAACAAATAAAACACCAAATCCCCTGGGGCCTTTCTAAGTGGACTTTTTGCGTGCTCGTGTCAGCATGTGTTTACAGCTTCACCTAGAGGTGTGTTTGTCTATCTGTGACATTCAGGCTCGAACAGAACTATGTTAACAGACGCAAAGCTCTGCCATGCTGTAAATGTGTTGCTGCAGGTACCAGAGGGAAGAGGAAATAGATCCATTAGGCCAACGCAGAGCTATACTTGTTTTATAATTTCATTTATGCAAAATAACTTAACATAAACGGAAAAATATCTTTAAACTGAAATAAAGCGACAAAAGCACAGCCAATTTATCAATTTTTATTTCTAAAATGTAAGATTACATTTGAAAGGTATTATTCGCTAACCATGGCAGAGCTGTCTGTCTGCATCAGAGGTTGCGCTAGACTTTTTCACTGCCCGTAATTTTGACGGGCAGGATCGTAACATTTCCGTCAAAATCCATTATTACCCGTCGGTCTGTACCATAGACTGTATATATAAATGGACGTAGGGTCCGTGACGTCACCCATAGGATTCTGCAGAGTTGCAGAGAAGCCCTTAGTAGGCGGAGTCGGCCACTAACGGCTCGACAGTGATGTCAGAGTTCCACTCCCGCCTGCTCCAAATAAGGGCAAAGAGGCGGAGCCGAGGCGGGACCTGCAGCCACCGGGCTGGAAGTTCCAGAGCTAGCTGAGGCTACCAAGCTAAGCTAACATGCTCCCCATCTGCACACTGCCGTCGCATTTTACGTTTCTAAGGTAAGTGGACATGAAACTATTCAGCAAAACTATAAATAATAATCTAAGTTATTGAGTTTTTAGCATAATACTTCAGAATCTTAAAATCCCTTAACGTTTGTATGCAATTGTGCTAAGTTCAACATGGACTCCAGGATACTCTACAACTCTACAGATACTCTTTAAATACTCAAGGGGGAATAAATACTCTCTGCTAGAGAAGTTTCAGTTACAAGATGTTAAAGCTCACCTATTATACTATATTTGAACAATATACTGTATCCACTTAGCCACAGCCGCCCTTGTAACTCTCTGATTGTAGAACCACGCCAAAAAAAAGCAGATAGCAACACCTATACAAACTGACAACAAATCTTTGCTGAGCCTAAAAATAATCATAAATGAATAACATAATGAAAATAAATATATTGCAATGCTCAAAACAGCAGCATCCAACAGTCTCTAATCCTTGGATATTACATGTCACTGCATGCATGCAACAACGGCTCGTTCGCGGGCGCGAGCCGGCTCCCGTCGTTCACTTAAAAGAGCCGGCTCTTTGAGCCGTCTCGTTTGCGACCGACACATCACTAATCCGCATGCAAGCAGTGAGCTCTGAAGAGAAGGCTGTCTACCAGCAGAAACTCAGCTAAACGCTGCCGTGATTAAACGCCATATTATGTTCCAAACCACATCAAGGATTATTTCTGAAACAGTATGGAGCTCTAACACTTTCTCTCTCGCGGGTTTACCCCAAGGTGAGTACCTTTTATATCCTGCTTCTTTACACATATTCTCTCCAGTACAGCGTTAGCTCTGAGTGTTAGCGATGCTTGCTAATGTAAACACAGACCATATTACTTCCAAAACACGTCACGCATTGTTTGTGATACAGCGACATTTCTGATAGGGCTGTGGGCGTAGAGCCAGCCCACATTTTAGTAATGACCGCAGCAGATCTGGATCAGCTCCGTTGTATCCCCATTTTTTAGCAATGTGGGTAATGAGGAAAAAAGAGAGGGTTGTATTTTCGGACACTGTGAGTCTCCTTACACACCGGGGACACATATTTATGTATAAAAGACATCAAAAAGTGCATTTTGCATGACACACACACACACACACACACACACACACACACACACACACACACACACACACACACACACACACACACACACACACACACACACACACACACACACACACACACACACACACACACACACACACACACACACACACACACACACACACACACACACACACACACACACACACACACACACACCTGTAAAATGAGTGATACTGTGATTCCAGCGCTGCAGATGCCCATCATGGCGAACCCCCCGATCATTAGAGGCCTCCTGCCCAGCCTCTCTATGGAGAAACACTGCAGGAGGACAGAGCTCGTGTCAGGCACGGTTAAATGAACACACACAAGATTTGAGGATTCAGGTGTACGTGCTGAAGGAAGCCTATTCTTGACTATCCATCCACACAGCACATGTGTACTCTGTGTCTCTATAGCGCAGTTTGCCAGATGCAGTCAGTGAGACCGGGTTTCAGTTTTGGTACATAGCATGCATGGTACGTAACCTGCTGAGCAGAAAGCTCTTCCCACTCAAACATAGGCAATCATGGAAATATGATGTGCATTGGGTGTTCCTCATTTACATTTCCGAGCAGTGTAAAATGCAGGTGATAAAATGAGGTGGAGATGAACAAAAACTGGAGACTTTAGTGTCTGACATTTATTTAAGGTGCTTTGATTTTGAAGGTGTCTGCCATTTGTGCAATGGCAGACAGAAGTGTCACAAGTTCAACAGTGACTGATCTTTATAAAAAACAACCATGTGTGTGTGTGTCTGGCTTTCAATAGCAGTCATCACAGTCACTGCAACTGACTCTTCGTAATCAAGACTTACATCCAGGTCATTACTCCTCCCATTTATACACATTTTTAAATGGTCATTTTTACATTGTTGTTTGTGTTAAGGTTTAACAACTTAGGACAGAACCAGGCTGGCTGTTTTAACCTTCTCCCACTCTTTATGCTATCTAGGCTAACCACATTCTGACACCAGCTCGGTAACACAGACACAAGATTCTCATATATTGTCTGATCTTATCTCAAACAAATAAATTAAAAAACAAAGGTCTACATGGCACAAATATGCAGACACCGCTCCAGAATAAATGCACCTCTTACCCCAATGAGTCCCGCGATGATTTCTATAATTCCAGTTCCTGCTGTGGTATACTGGATCTCTGGTTCTGGGATACCTGCATTCTCAAAGATGTCATTGGTATAGAACCAGATCTGTGACGGAAAATAAGTACACAAAGATAAGTGAGGGGAAAACCATTTGATGCTGTTATTTAAAGTGGACCTATCATGCTATATTTGACAAATATTTTGTTCACACTAGGGATGGGAATTTGACAGCAAATGTATATTCGAATATTCGACCCCCCAAAAAACGGTTAACCGGTTAACCGAAATGTACATATCCCATAAAAAAAAAAATTGGGTAAAAAAAAAATGTCTAACATTTTTTTCAATAACTTTTGGAAATAAATAAATACATGTTCAAATAAGTATAGAAACCAAGTCGAATTTGTCAAATGTATTGAACTGGTGATCACAGTTTGACAGCTATAGGCCTACAGCTTTCATGTGCGGAGGCGATTCACAATCAGGCCAGCTGTAGAGAAGACCCTCTCAGCTGGAACGGAGGTTGCGGGTATAGCAAGGTATATGTATATATATGTTTAATTTGGCATAGTTTGTACTATACACCACACTCACTAACCTGGTCGAAATCTTTCCACACATTACTCCTTTTTGACGCCATGTCTGTTGTGTAGGACTCTTCTTAGAGTGTAAATAATTACCGGACTATGACTGGTAAAATATGTAGAATACCGGCAAAACTAAATGTCTCCTGTCAAAATGTCTATGTACTTTGCCGCCACACACGGTTGCCAAGCAGCGCTTATTGTTGTTTAGGCTGGCCACTCATGTGTCGCGAGTGTTGACAGGGGGCGGGGGAGCACGCTCATGAACTGTTAGCGCCGGAACCTCCCAACGGCTGTGGAGCGCATTTGCGCCGCATTTGCGCATAAGATGAGGTTTTAGTCTGCGTGATTTGCGTGTAGGCAGGGGCAGCAGCCATATCATTAGCTAGAACTAGCTAGATCTGATGGATTTGGACATAAACGCGAGTGAAGTACCAGACGCGCAAGAGAGAGAGATCAGCACCTGCAGCTCTGCCCGCTGTGAGGGACCGGTGAGCGGAGCAAAACACACCTTTAGACGTCACCTAACACATTTAGCTATGGCACTGTCGTATACATTGAATTATTCAATTTGATAATATGTAATCAACTTAGGCATCCCTCCCAAAAAAAAAAAAAAAAAAAAGATATTCACAACTCATATTCGAATACCTGAATAATTATTCGAACACCTGAATAATTTCGAATATTCTAATATTCGATTAATCGTTCCCATCCCTAGTTCACACCAAGTACTTTTCCCACAATAGTTCATGAGAGCTCAAAATGAGTTCCTGGGGGTGGATTAGGCAAATGAGCCGCTGACGTCACTTCTTCTTCTTCTGCTTTGGGTTTACTGGTAGGCCGCAAACAACTTCACGGCGAGTACAGTAGGTGGCGGTATGCACCTTAAAGTTGCAATCCGCCAAAAAACCGAGAGAAGAAGAAGAAGAAAAAAAACTTCCGCTTCCGCTGTATGCTTCTGTTTACCTTCCGACCTCAGACACGGTATGGAGTTGACGTTTTGGTGGTCGTGTTATACAGCTTCGTAACTGAGTTATTTAAGCCAATAACTCAGCCACAAATACAAATACAGATTGACCATTCAAATGCAATAGAAATGCTGAGTCGGAGGCGAAGGCGGTTAAGAAGCCTTAACAAAAGGATTGGACGACGAAAAGCACACGCTATGGACATGTTTCGCCGTAGGACAGCTGAGCATGATGATCGTTATCACGCCCAAAGAACAGCAATGGTACGTTCATTAAATCACATTAATACTATCTAATGTTGGATTTATGGAGTTATGTAGGGCTAATTTGTGTCTTTGTATGTGTTCCAGATATGCGAATACTACGGAACGAGTCGTGTCCCGCGCTCTCTCTGGGTGAACAATAGAACATCGCCCTGGTGGGAGAAGGTGGTGCCAACGTACACCAATGTGCAGTGGATCAAAGATTTCCGAATGTCCAAGGGCTCTTTTCAACTCCTCTGTATTCGCCTGGAAGCAACGTTGGGGAGACGCAACACCAACAACCGGGAGTGTGTACCCGTGCCTAAAAAAATCGCCGCGGGGCAAGACACGCACACAGCCCTTATGAGGCATCTGAACAGCATGGAAATTGTAAATTGACAATAAAGCTGATCTTTTGTACAGTGCATTTGGTTCTCTGTTTTATTTACCACAGTCAACAGACACAATTACAATAGTGCAGACCAGTGGCGGCTGGTGGAAAATATTTTAGGTGGGGCTGTGGAAATGGTGATCAAACAATACTAGAGGGGTCCGGGGGGATGCTCCCCCGGTAATTTTTTTTGAGAAAAGACCCCTTAAATCATGACTTCTGGTGATGTTAGAGGGGGGGAGAAGGACAATTTGAGGCTTAAAATTATGAGAAGACTGATCAATACCTCCATAACTTCAGTGTGGTTAGCTATGAATCTTCCAAAACTTCCAAACACCTTGTCCTGGACATAGTTTCTACAGCATAAACTGTGCAACAGTACAGTAGGCCCACACAAACTGCAGAACACCGGGGCTTTGGGAATACTGATTTAATTCCCATTTAACCTGTTAAGGGGCTTTTTTCCCCCATTTTTTTTCTCACGAAACTGTGTCTCAGGGCTTCTTAAAATGTAATAAACTATTCATGTGTCCTACTCAGAGGAAACGCATCTAACTGATGATATGAACCATGTTTACCGAAACAAAACACAAGTCTCACAAGAAGCGTCTAAATGAGCCCTGAGCGAAAAAATGCTAACGCACTCTAGGTATAAATCAATCGATATACTTATCGGATATGCACAAACAAGTTTACAAGCTGAGATTCCACATATTCTAGAAATATAAGTATCATCACTGAGCGTTCAGAACTCGCGACAGGGGAAGCAAATACAGACATCACACGATGTAGCTTTAGGTAGCAAAACATGGAGATATGCTCACCTTTTGCAGAATAACAATTCTGATCAAAAACGAGAAAAACGCAGCTGAAGGTTAATCCATAGGTTAATCCAATGTGTCTGTCACTTTGAAAAATGATTGATGATCCATAATTCCATTTTTATGTCAAAAACTTAGTTTTCATTAGCTGTAGCTTCCAGAGTGTATGACAGCTTCCTGTTTTGTCTCCTTGGATACGAGTCCAAACAACTCACAGACTGCACCGGGCGCTCACGTAGGAGCCCTGTGACCATCATATTTGACGACGCTGATTGGCTGAAATTATGTTTTCGCGGCATAGTTTACACGTTACAGATAGCAACAGTCAGCTGCTAGTGGCTGCTGCTGCACTGGTTGAGGGCTCCTCTCTTAGCGCCCAGACGAGAGAAGGTACACGGGCAAGGCCAGGCAGGAAACATGTGACTTATCAGTAACTTTAGACATCGTAACACAATTTTAAACGAGATTTTATTGTAGATTATACATTTTACTGATACCAATTATATAATATTTACCTTGTTCATTAAAAATAAAAATAAAAAAAAATATTTTTTTTTAAATATATTTTTTGTTTTTATTTTTATTTTTATTTTTTAATATGGGAAGAGGTGGGGCGGCGCCCCTAGCGCCCCTATGGACCGGCCGCCACTGGTGCAGACACACCTTAGTGCAAAGATAAAATGTCAGTATCAAAACAGTACTCATACTGTATATTTGTATATTAATGAGTATATTATTATGTTAAATGTGTGTTAAAGACAATGGGATGAGGTTGAAAGCTCTTTAAAAAGCTTTTGTATACCATCTTTACTGTGATAAATACATACATGTTAAGCATACACACCTGAAGAACTACGTTACACACACACACACACACACACACACACACACACACACACACACACACACACACACACACACACACACACACACAGGTTAGTCTGTGTACCGCTGCACTACTGCTGGTTTAAACAAAGACAGTCATGATGCTAGTGCCGTGCAGCAGATCATCTTCACTGTGTGTTGTCGCCCAGAATCGCACCATACAGGTGAAAAAAGACAACACACCACATGTCTGTATCTCTTTCTCTATGAGGGTTAGGATAACAATGAAAGTTAAGACTGGCAGGCTGGTTGTGGTATGTCAAAACTCAAATGATGTGGCAGATGTGTTTTAGAGGTCCATAATAATCTAAATGAATAAAACTGTGATTATGGAAAAAAGTATTGCACAGTAAATAGGCTCAGCAGTTAACACACCTTTATTATATATCCTCCTGAGAGGAACTCAGTACACTAACTCCTAAGATGTTCCCTTACTATAATTAATTAAAATATTGAACTCACAACACTGGTAATTACAAACTTAACCATTTCTCTTTCTATAAATAGTGCTTGTGTTGAAATACAATGAAATGATCTTTTTCAAAGCCACATATTTGGGGTGGGACACAATAAATAAAGCTTCGCCAGTTTATAACCGATGAAAACATGATGGTATCAGAATAATCACTTACATGTGATGTATAGGATGCTACACAGGTCACTGTAAAGATAAAGTGTCAGAGGAGAAATAAGCAAGATACATTATCTGTTTAATCGCCATATAGGTTCTCTTTTATTTATCAGCAGCAGATCAATAAGTGTCAGTAGTATCAAAACAATATAATAACAGTGGCAATATATATATATATATATATATATATAAATAATAACAATAGGTAGGCTCAGCAGCAGACACACCTTAGTGCAAAGTTAGGTGTCAGTATTAATAACAGTGGCATATATATATAATCACAATAATACAAAATTAACTGTCCCAGGTGTAGGCAATTTGGGGTGAAGTGTCTTGCCCAGGGACACAACGACATCCTGACTGCAGTGGGCTGGCACGCCGCCGAGTCAGCATGGCGCAGCATGGCGCAGCATCAGCATGGCGCAGCATCACCATGAGCAGCTGGTCGTCCGATTCCTGGGCCTTGTGTGAATGCAGCAGCCGTTCGTCGTGCATCTCCTTGGCACGCAGGTCCTCATTCTCCTTGCTGACCATGGCACGGCAGTCCATCGCCATGATGGTGTCAAGAAAGCTGTCATCC